GGTGTAAGGAGAGAAAAAAATTTAGAATTAAACAAGTAAGAAAGACTAAGTTCGGGCGGAGGCGAACACTAAACACCCGGCGCAAGTATATGATTTTCACCTTTCCGAAATCTACCGCTGGGGTGTATCAATTTTGAGTAAATTAGCGTCCTTTAATTTCGAAATATCGAAGTTTCAAGCATTTCTGAAATTTGCCGTTATATGAAAATCGGCCTCAATTTTAGTCCGATTTCAATAATTTTCAACGTTTTGCTTCTCTGTGGCAAGCACAATAACCATACCGAGCTTGGTACAAATTGGTAGAACGGTTATCGAGATACATATATGTCATCATAAGTGGGCGGTGCCACGCCCATTTTCGAAAATTTTATCATAAACGCATTTATTGGTAAAGAATTGTTGCTAGCATCAATTTAAAATAAATTAGCTTTAATATTTACTGATGTATCGAAGATTTCGTATTTCTCCAAATTACCGTTATATGGTTATTGACCGATTTTAAAAATTTTCGGCCATTTGGTATGCTGTTGCAAGGCTAACAACTGTGCCAAGTTTGGAAGAAATTGGTGCAGCGGTTACCAATATATACACATCAGGGAATGGCATTGGTTGATCGTCAACTGTTCATACTCATTCAATACCGCTACTTTGTATGACTGAGCAGCGGCGTTGGCTTAGTAGTATCGATACCTAAACGAAATTAGAGGATGACTGAACACGAGCGCATTGCGTGCTGTCTTGCAAATACGATGCTTATAACTGCTCATACTGATATTGACTTCGGCAAATCTGTACTCTCAATGATCGTGCACGAAACCAGCAACCGCCGTATTTGATCGACAGCCATAAGCACGATACTGCATTTGGACGGTTGTTAAGATATCTCAATTTTTACTCGAGGTCTCGTGTGCACAGACGGATGGACGGACGAACAGACTGTCACCGCTTAATCGATTTCTCATTTCATTCTGATCATTTATGTATACATTTGTCTATATCTATCTCGATTCGTTTTGCCTGTTACAAACGACCGTTATGTGAACAAAGTTATAATACCCTTGTGCACAAGTGCGCTCGGGTATAAAAACGTGCTAAATTAAAAAAATGCGCATATGAAACAGCACTCGTAATTAATTTTAGTAGAACAATATTTTAAAAAATTTGGTCAATAATGCTGAGTTTTGTTATTGGACTTGTAATTTGTGCCGAGTTCTTTGCTTCCATTTTTACAAGCTCTTTTATGGTTAGGGACCACTAAACCTACTTTAACCTCTTCAGGATACTTCCCAGAACGGAAACAGTCATTAACAAGTTCGGCTGACGGTGAAGATAGTAGTGGGGTTCATGAGACTGAAATGAAACTCGAAATAAAACACCTTTTGTATTTTAAGGTTTTAATGAACAAAATGTGACACGTGTGCGGTAATTTACAGAATCAGTAAATAGGCTAAGTAGAATAGTATAAAGTAAGGTAGTTGCCATATCAACATTAATTACTCATTGTAATAATAATAATAGGATGTTTACATATATCATTTACCCTCACTGTTTTCTTTTTATTCGTGCGAATAATCCTCAAGATATTGCGGCGGCCGGCGCAGGCGGCTGGATTTCCGGGCAATCGGTTGTTCCGCAACGTCGTGTACTGATTCTGTTAATGTCGGGTTCTGTGAGACCGATCTGCGGCTATCCGGTTTCTCCATCGCAGACTGCGGTTGATTTGGTACCTTATCCGTAGAGAGGTTTGTTACTTCTTCAGTGGCCGGCTTAGGAAGGCTAAGTGGAGCCGTATCCGGACTTAGGTCTAGACAAATATCTTCTCCTCCCTCTTTTATGGGTGCTAGATGTCGGTTAGAGACCGTAGTTTCACGTCCACCCGGCAATTTAACATATGAAAAATCAGGGTTGCAGTGTAAGACTTCTACTTCTTCCACTATAGGCTGGTATTTGTTGGCTCGGTTGAACATTTTCATTAAGACATGTCTCGAATTCGTAAGCCAAGTTGGTATCGAAGCGCCATTGTTAGACCTCCGTTGGTGTACAAACATTCGCTCGTGAGGAGTGCAGTTCGTGGCGGTACATAACAGAGATCGAATGGCATGAAGGGCCTGAGGTAGCACTAGCTGCCAGTTTTCAATTTCCAGATTTTCTGTTTTTAACGCTAAAATAATAGTTTTCCAGAGAGTGGAGTTAAGCTTCTCCACTTGTCCGTTTCCTTGTGGGTTGTAGGCGGTAGTACGGCTGGTAGTGATACCCTGAGAGTGAAGAAAGTTTTGTACTTCTGTTGAAAGGAAAGAAGCCCCTCGATCCGAATGGACATATGAAGGCATGCCGAAAGTAGTAAATAGCTCGTTGAGATTTTTAATAACCGTTTTGGCACCGACGTCCGGGCATGGAAAGGCGAACGGAAATCGTGAAAATTCATCGATAATAGTGAGGATGAATTTATTTTTGTTATTTGTTGGGACTGGCCCTTTGAAGTCGAGGCTCAAGCGTTCGAATGGTGATGTTGCTTTTATCAACTTTTTTTGATGCTTGTGGCTATGGAAGAATCTAGGTTTAACTTCGGAGCAGGAACGGCATGAATTTGTCATATTTCTAACTTCCTCAATCGAAAACGGTAGGTTAGCTGACCGTACCCAGTGGAACATTCTAGTCACTCCCGGATGGCAGAGCGCTTCATGATGCGAAATAAGTTTCGTTTTACGGGATTCCATAGTAGCGCAAACGCGTTAGAGAGCGTCCGCGGCATGATTGTCCTTTCCTGGACGATAAATAATATCATATTTGAAGGGCGCAAGCTCCAAACGCCATCTTTGGATCTTCTCATTTTTGATTTTGCTTGCATTCTTTTTGTCGTACATAAAGGATACTGATCGCTGGTCGGTTACTAGGTTAAATCGTTTTCCAATAAGAATATGCCTCCATTTCTTCAACGATTCGACGATAGCGTAGGCTTCTTTTTCTATTGCCGAATGATTTTGTTCGCTAGTATTCAATGTTCTAGAAAAGAATGCCACAGGTCTATAGTCCTGGGTAAGCACGGCTGCGATAGAATGCTCTGAGGCGTCCGTTTCGACAGTGAAAGGAATTTGGTCCTCGATAGCATGGATTGAGGACCGATGTTGCTTTTAAGACCTTCGAAACATTTGAGTTGGTCACTGGTGAGCGGAAAAGCGGTCGCCTTAGCCAGTGAGTGGACTCTTTCGGAGAAGTTTGGTATCCACTTAGAATAGTGAGCAAACATTCCCAGAGACCTTCTTAAAGAAGGCAAGTCGCGTGGCGCTGGCAATGCTAAAAGAGGCCTAAGCCGATCGCCGTCGGGTTTTA